TCCATCCCTTCTGCAGCACGATTGCAAACTACCCCACACTACTTACCTTAGCTGACTTTTGAATTTCATGTTTGTTGCTGTTTTTTGCTCTTTCTGTAAATCTATTTCCCTTATTATGCTAAATATTGTCTTTAAAGCAGAATTCCTGATGCATACAGAGGCTATAAAAAGATTTCTCAACAGAATTGGCCTCTCACTGGCAAAGAAAATTGCAATGGGAGACCATCATTGTGTACTCATATCAGAGGCTTGGATCTGCAGAGTCTCACTCTGCTGTCCTCCAGCTTTTCCTTATAAACCAAAATGGCTTACAAATGTCATCTACAATAGTCCAATAAAGATTAGGAACAAAACACTGTTCTTACTTGGATAAGGATAAGATAAGAATGATTTAACTGCAGAATGCGGTGTGTAAGAAAAGCACATAAGGCTTGCTCTCAAATCAGAAAAATAGAATTCTAATTATATTTGTGTACCTCTAGAATTTAATTGAGATGATCAGTTTATTTTTTCCATAACGTCTGATCATATGCCTGTAACATAGTGCTAGATAAAAAGAAAAGGAAGAAAACAAATTCTATCAGGGAAATCAAGAAGACCCATTATCTATAGCGTGTGCGAAATATGTTAGGAAATAATTCTACTATGAGCGCTGAGAATGCCCAGTTAATAAAAAGAGATCAGCCACTCGCTAAGAAAAAATAATTGTCTGTCTCTATATTTTTCAAAGCAAAAAGGCAGTCACATCTCTCATGAAACAGGGCACATTAAAATAAGCTTTAATAATCTTTATGCAGAAGGAAACTAATCCATTTTCAGATCATACGATCCACAGCAATAAAAGGAAATCATCAAACTAAAAACAATTTTAGAAATGGCTTCAGACTCTCATTTAATTAACATGCAACAGATCATATATTTATGAAGAAGTCAAAATATTTAGGAAGCCTATAAGCCTGTAAGCCTTAATGTGGTATTAAAACCAACAAATAAATGCAAAGTGTTACTGTTACACATGCCTATCTGATCAATGGTTTTCACATATTGATCTATAAATGGAGTTGACAGTCTGTGTTGGCTGCATGTTTTCCAAGCAGCACTATTTTTGCACAAAACCAATACGGGCAATTACCTTTGTTTGAGATGCCAAGTCTTATCAATTCAATGTGATTTAGTGTCATTTTAATTAAATATCAGGATCTACTTCAGGACAATTTATACCAACAAAGCTTCAAACCTAACTATAAGCTTGATTTGAAGTAAACATGGACAATCCCTACAACCTCATAATATTTCTTAAAAAGTCTGCTAAACAGAAGGCTTATATTTTTAGTAGCAATTTTTATGTCTGCCTTGTTGGCTAGCCACAACTTTGGCAAGTATCCTAAATCACAGAAGTAAGAAACAAAAGGAAATTGTTTCGTCTTTTTCCTGATACTACATTAAAAAGAAAAATGAACCAACACAGTCTGTTAATGGAAGGAAAGAGGCTTGTATGTTAATGTTTAGGAATGGCTCAGCCTAACTCTTTATCTGAACACCAATAAAAAGATATTTTCCTGTTCATGATGGTCATGAATGAAGTAATGACCTTCTGTGGGTTTTCAAGATGGAAATGGTGAATATTCATACATGTTGCTGCTTAAGGCACCATCATCAAATGCTGAAATTGCCCCTGCTTGTAAATCCGATGTCTGCAGTTTGCTGATTTAGGCTATTTAAACTCTTCATTAATATCTATTCTAAACTGACTCGTAGGCTGGAGCATCCCTCTTATAAATAACATCAAAGCACGTTAAGCCCTTTACATTAGCCATTTGCAGGATTGCACATTAGCCTTTTTAGCCCTTAAACGGGCACACTTCACTTGCCCTATTTATTCTCACTCAGCTCTCTGCTTTTCTGCTTAGCATATTCTGGTAAATAAGCCATCCACCTTTAAAAGGCTGCACTTTAGGACTCAGGATGAGACAGCAAATTACTGCGACCCAGAAGCTTCCTTCCCCACTGAATGGAGCTCCCTAGATCTCTCTTAGAGAAGAGCAATTTTTTTTTAGCAAATCATATTTGCTACACGCCAAAGTTGCCATCTCCCAACATTCCCCAGGAAGGAAAGTAAACTTACTGAATTTTAAAAAGGCATGGATTTTTTTTTAAACAAATAAAAATGATTATTTGGGGTTTAAAGACAAGAATGCCTACCACCAATAATGTACTGGACAGTTGATGACAGTTTTACTGGAACACATCCTGCAACATTTATATCACCAAAAGTTTTAAATGAACAAGTAAATTCATCTGTGTTTCTGAATTTAGGGTTAAGCAATACCATGCCATTTTTAAATATTCTCTAAAATACTTAGAGACTTTACTTTAAAATAATTAGAGAATCTTTAAAATTCTTAGAGGCATCTGTAGGAGGATTTTATATTGTGTTCTAGGCATGGTTAAAATAAAACAGTATTTATGAATTAATGCCAAAACAATAAATTCAAAGTAATTTTTATAATAAATTCATAGATGCTTGTGTTATCATATAGTCCAGTAAGTTCATTTGAGACTTGCATTCTTATTGTACTGGTGAACAGGTAACATAGATGAGGCACATTGATTAAAGAGGGTGCATACGTAAGTATAGTCTTTAAGTGCACAGAATTTTCTCTAGAAATCACATGGATGTGTCATTATTAAAACAAGCAGTGCTTCATATGAACATGTGCACACATTTTTAGAGTACATTGCTTTCTACTTCTAATTCAAAATTTTCTACTTTCTACTTCTAAATTCAAAAATTTCCCCCTTGACCTCACCCCATCGTCCAACTTCTGAAAAATCAAGTTTTTAGTCTAGCTTGAGCGGATAACTTTAACAGGCTTGTTTGAATAAATATGCCAAAATACTTTACATTCTGTCAGTATCTAGTCAGAAAATTGTGCATGGAAAAGAGATGAAAAGAACCGAGACAGAAAGAAAATTAGTGCCATGGCAAGCTTTCAATGCAGGGTCTCTGAGCCAAGTCTTCTCAGTGAAATGACATATCCTCACTAAAATACCCCTTTTATGTAATTATGCACTGAGCACACAGAGCCAAAAGTAACTTTTATTTTTGTTCCTTATCGTGGAATACATATTGCTCAGGCTAAGAATGCGGAAACAAAAGCTGGGGTAATTATAGCTAATTTAACTTTGGAAAACTCTTATTCTCTTGCAGTCCGGCATACAACCCCCCAAACTAAAGTTATGTAACAAGGTAATATCAACAATGAGAAACTGCATGATAAAATCCTGCCCAAAAGTGAAAAATGCTAATTTTGTCTCATTTAGCAGCTGGATACAGAAATGCTCATTAGTTTTAAGAGGGTTAATCCTTTTAACTTTTGCATATTGATATGCCAATTATGCCTAATTGTACAAGAGGCATCAGTCAAGGTAATAGTGCATAAACACATGAAAGTTATTAAGTACATCCCAACATGTAATAAAGTAGGTGTTAATTGGTAGCTGAGTTCTGCGGGCTATTGAGGTGGATAATTCATTGAGAGATGGATCACTTGTAATTTCTCTCCATAATTCCTTTTGCAGTCTCATGCTGTGATGTTTTCATGCTTGTCAAAAACAACTGCGGCATAGTGCCTTTTGTTAAACACAGCCAATAAAATATGTCAGGCATCATTAAATATACTTAACTTTTAAACTTTTTCAAAGGTACAGTTCTTACAGATAAATACATATAGAGATTCCAGCAATCTACTCTAACCTTTGTCTCAAGTTCATACTTGAGGAAAATTTTAGTTGTTTCAAAAGTAAAGTGAACTAACAGTGTTGTGCCTCCCAGCAGACAATAGCTTTAAATGAGAAAGTAAATACAGGCAAATGCTTTTCTCATTAGTTACCTTATCTAAGGATGTTTTTCAGTCCACCAAAATAATCACTGGTGTCCTCACACTAAATTTATCTATAACACCCGAGGAAAGAATGATTCCATTCATACATTTCTCAAGCTCCTGAAGCTGCTGTGGGTTAATGTTTCACTTGAAATTTGAGTAAAATATGGAGAATAAATGTAATCGGTAACGTGATCCTCAGCAAGTTTATCTCAATAACTTAGGGAGCTGAATATTTCATAGGCTCCTATGATATTAGCAGAACACTCAATTAATAGCTCACACGTTTCTGCAGGGTGACTGGGACTCAGCCTGTCCCTAGCTAACCTATTTCTTCATCTTGCTTTCACTGTGTGAAACAAAATAGATCTGGGGTCCAAAAGAATGGCTAACATTGCATAAATAATTTTGTACCATCCTATGGCCTCAGCTGCAAGTTACCACCATTACAGAGGAAAATTAACCAGAGGAGACTCATCGTAATCAGTGGGTTTAGTGGCTCAGGATGCGTGCAGGGCCAGGGACACAATTGGCAGTAGAGTTCATCTCTAACTATTTTAATTCAAATCTTTCTAATGACATATTATCGAGACAAAATGTCTTCCTCTCCAAACCTTACATAGCCACACCATTTCAATCATTTGAGTCCATTTCAAATCAAGTAGTAATTTCTACTACCATATATTATTAGGCAATTTTAAGAAAGAGATTTTCACAATTTTGAAAAACACGTTTATTTCTCGGTTTATTCTTAGCTGATTTTAGCCTCTGGCTTTTCAAAGTGATGTACTGTATTTGGAAGTACAAACACCACATGCTAGCATAACCTCATTATTTTTATGACACTGAAGCATGATAGTAGAGGCCCTTAAAATGAGTCAAAGGTGTTCTTCAGCCTTGCTCCAAATCCGCTTTATCACTCTGGATTAGACCCAGCTCTTCTTGTGCAACTGGGGATATTATTACAACTATAAGTAGACAAAATAAAATGCATTGCAAAAACAGTGTTCTATTGCACATCAGGAAAACAAATAAAACAAAGCTAATTTGCTCTTTTTTAAAAAATAAACTTCTGTATGCTAAGTGAATTTGGGATATCTGGAGCGTTCGACTTACAGGTTCGGTGACCTTCCCAACATCAGTGAGGATCATGGATTTAGTTTGGCTCAACCTGTCGTGGTGGCTGTTGCTGTTTTTGATTCTCATTTGCACAGCTCCTGTGCCTTGGTGGACAGGATTCTGTGTTTCCATAGAGGCATCAGCATTTGTAGATTTCTTCATATTACAGTGGTGTCCTGATAAAATAAAAACTATGTTACTCTAAATATATACTTTTCCCATGAGAAACTCTTGGTAGGTGTGTGCCCCTATTCATGGCAGGGTATTAAAATTACATAATTACATAAATTAAGAGTCTTCATCCCTCTGAGTAGTAAAAGAGAAAATGGTTATTTTCTAGGGATCAGTTGGGACTTCTATGGATGAAGAATAGTATATAAGACAGAAATCTTCAGAAGGTTGTAGGTGGCACAACATAGTCTCTGTAACTCCTAATTCAATTATGAAACTAATAGCAATCCGATGGTCATCCTTATATAGAAATGGTAGTGCCAAGTAATCATCATTAGGATATATGCTTTTTTAATTCATAATTTCACTTGTCTGCTACTAATTCTACACTCATACATTACCACCTGCACCATTTTAGTGGTTGCTGCTGCTGCTACTGCTGCTGAACCTAAAATCCATATTAATCTGGTCAAATTTAAGGAAGACAAGAACTGGTGTCAGCAAAGCAAATTTGATGGCTCTAAATTCTTACAAATGGATAAATTATCTCATGAAAACATCATCTGCAATCAAATTCAGCTTCTTAATTGGCTGAAGCAGATCTTCTTTTTGCCTAATTGTTGCCTCCAACTCTTAACTATGTGGACTTGCATATTGGGCACTGGGCATTCCTATATAACAGCGGGGAAAACTAGGTAGACACTCACAAAAGCTAATATAATTCAAAGGCATGATTGTATTTTTAGGAAACAACAATGATACAGTAGGCCCTTGACGTATGGACTCATTTCATTCTCAAGGGCTGGTTGTTACTCAAATTGGTCAATTGAAGGCACAGCCTTCAAAGTCTCCTGTATGCAGTCAAATCTCAGTTTCCTTAGAAAGACACTGGCCACGATTTCTCACTTAACAACACACAGGAAAAGATGTAGTAATATTCCTTCTGGAACTCTTTACAGGTTAAGTCTGTATCTGAGACCATCTGGAAGCACAAGTGGCCAGCATTCAGGTCATAACTCAAGTCTTCGATCATAACTTAAAAGTAAAATTCCAGTCATAACCTAAGTTGTTCGTATGTCAGGCCAGTTGTAACTAGAGCGCATTGTATTCCCATACTTGTTAGATGGACAATGGGACAATGGTGAATATTAAAACAAATATTAAGGTGACTATTAAAATGAATAAACTATTCCTAGTTCTATTTTAATAGGAAGAGAAGTATTGCCTCACAATCAGTACCAGAAATAATTGAATAACAACTTAGACAGCAAGGTAATATTTATCTTTTACTATTTGCTATGCAGTTTTCTCAGTGGTTTAATTCATACAAAACTTTTATGAAATAGACATTCAACCAATATTTTATAGAGGAGAAAATTGAGAATTCAACAGACTGATCATTTTCCCAACAACACTGGAAGAGATAGAAAAGCATATATTTTATTTTAAAAAGGTAACATGTAGGAACAAATTCTAGTTTATCTACACAATGAAAGCAATAAACAGTAAACAGAAAGAGACTATTGATATATACAACAAAGAGAACTGCTGCTGATTGAATAAAGCCATTACAAAGTGAATAAAAAAGAATTTCTCTATGAGTTTTTTTACTTCTATAGTCTCTTTCAAAAATGTAAATTAACATATGACAAAAAGCTGACCGGTGTTGCTTAGGGGGAGGGTGTAGGCAAGAATGAATTATGCTAAATACAAATAAACTTTTGGGGCCTATGATATATTCATTATTTTCTCTTTTTTTCTCATTGAGTTTATTGGTACATTTTTGGTGTACAGTACAATTACATTCATTGTTGGGATCTTGTACTTTTATATGACAGGTCTTGGTTCTCATTTTTTCCCCATACGCCTGCCCTCCCTTCACCCCCTCCTCTCTTCCCTATTTACAAAGATTGTGTGATAGTTAAGCTTAGTTATAACAATTTTATTGCCTTACACCTTTCTCTCTAGCTCTGTTCCACGCTCTGCTTCCCTCCGGCCATGAATTAAACAGCTTTACTCGGTCACACCTTCTGCCATGATGGTCCTGACTCAGAACCTGCTAACCATGAACTGAGTCCTTCAAAAACATGGGTCAATCTAAATCTCTTATTTTAGTTACATGTGTCAGATAGTTGGTCCCAGGGAAAGGAAAGCGATTAATACATGTGGTTACATTAAAAGTGAACGATCTTGAAATTTACTTGCACTTTATGGTACTTCAGCGATAATTCACATAGTTGTTTATAAAATAAATTGTTTTAAGAATTCCTTAACTAATTTATTTTGCACTTATGTTTGTTTTTATGTGCCTACATGAGTGATGTGTTATAGAAATTATGTAACAGCGCAAAAAGAGCTCTTTTAATAATTACAAAACAAAAATTTGAGGTGATAAAAGTAAATTGCACTTTTTTCTGAGAAATTATGTTTCAGAGACATTGAAATTCTGTTCCTACTGTATTCAAGGTTTGATCTTGCATATTACTTAACATTCAAACTATTGTGCAGGGTGTGCGTGCACACACACATGTGTTTGTGTCTGTGTGTGTTATTAGGGGAATTTAGGCCAAAGCTTGATCTTTACAGATCAAGAGCACCAACCACTACATTTACATAGCCCAGCCATGTTCTATTTATAGGACACATCGCTTCCTGCGTATATGCATATATTTCAGTGTCAAATATAAATTTGCATCCTTGTATTGATTTTATAATCAACCCATAATTTGCCTAGTGACAGGTTATTGTCAAAAGGCAGAATTACTCAGAAGTCTCATATCTGGCTTTCTTTACTGTGTTTCCTTGGGGACGGTCTGTAAAAAATATTATCAAGATCTTCCTTCTTTTTGGTCAAGCGGATCTTTCTCCCTACCACAATGGTAATGCTATTTGCTTAATTTCCTTCCTATTTCTCCTCTCTAGCCATTATTTCTGTTCCCATCTCTCCCCATCCTCACATTTTTTTGATACCCCTCTGCACTGTGCTTGTTTTCTTAATGCAGTTTCCCAAGTACAGCAGTCTCTCCTTATCTGTGAGAGTATATAGTCCATGACCCCCGGAGTTCATCTGAAATAGTAGATACAAATGAACCCTATAAACATTTTGCTTTGTCCCATTCACACGTACATACACATGGTAAGGATAATTAAAAGATTACAAGTATAATGGAAAAAGTTTTGTGAATGTGGATTCTCTCTCTCTCAAAATTTCTTACTGACCTACACTCACCCATCTCCTTGCGATGATGTTAAGTTCATGCAATGCCTACATGATGAGATGAAGCAGAAAACGATATAGGCTTTGTCATACAGCCATGGATTAATTCATAAGGCTTAGCGGGACACAGCCACTGTGACTCTGCAACAGTGGATCTAATAACTGAAATGATCTAAGCACCTACTGGGCAGGTAGTGTATACTACAAGAATACTCTGCACAAGATGATTCATGCTTTGAGCAGCAGAGAACAGACAGCATGTGATTTTATTATACTTTTAAGAACAGCAAAAATTTTAAAAAGTTAGGAATTTTTTATTTTTGGAATGTTTCATTTAATATTTTCAGACCACAGTTGACTGGATAATTGAAAACACAAAAAGAAAAACCATGGAAATAGGGGAGTTACTGCATTTCATTCAATGCAAAGTCAGTCAATGATAGTACTTCATAATTGTTCCTATATACTTAAGATTTCTAATTCTGCAGAGTGCTATATTGATCTAAAAGAATACAGAAAAATAACACTAAGCCTATTCTTAAAGATTCCTATCAGAAAAAATAATCCCCCAAATCAGTCCCATAAAAAATACACAGTAGTATTTCTTCCAGATTTACTGAGATTCTCTAAAACACCAGTTTAGAAACTGACGATAATCTTCCTTTAACAAGTGTATTAGAGTTTGTGTGAGTGATAGAAAAACAACTCATTATGTTATGAGAATCAGATTATGTTCAGGTGAGGAGAGGTGCAGTGACATCAAATTTAGGGAAAATGGATATGAAAAGACAAGCTCTTCAAGAGAAAATCCAATTATACTGAAGTAGATCAGGGCAGCTTGTGCATTTCAGGCAAAGGGCTTGGCAATGCAGAGATGCGCACATACCTGTACTATTATAAATTAGGTATTATAAAGTGCTATGCAACCAAAATAAGGTACCAGAGAAGTTCAAGAAAAAAGAATTGATGGATTTCATCTGTGAGGGAGAATCTGATCACCTTGCTTGCATCTCTTCAGCTGAATTGTTGATTGAGAGTGTCAACCCTCCTGACCCAAGCAGAACCCCAAGGAACGGGTATCCTAGATATTCTTGGTGAGAGAATATGGAAAGAAAGTTTTCCATGATGTTTTACACAAACTTCTTATATGGATGAATGGGGAGGAAGCTGAACCTCACTGTAAGGTAGAATGGGGTGCAGGAGGTCAGACAGAGGATAGTAAGGGAGATAGAAATCTGACAAGTGTAATAAAGGCTGTACTAGCAGTTGTGGTACTCATGACTGTTGTACTTTTGAGTTCACAGATGATTTATTCTCATTAATCCTATTAGGAGACCTATACCAAGGAAGTGCTTTTGTCAGTTTCATTTGCTTTTCACATAGAACCTTTTCTTTGTGCTCTTCTAACTTCTGTTCCTAATCTTCTCTTTTCCTTCATCAAGTGATCCTTTCATCTCTTGGCTGCAAAAGGTCACACTACTCATTTGGGCATCATTTCATCTATAGCAATAAACTTTCTGAAATTTTCATCATGCAGTCTTCCTTACCTTGAAAAATACCCATCTTCTCAGTGTGTCATTAAATGTAACTAACACAATGACTAACATAATGTTATGAAAGAATGGTAAGACCTCCTCTTAACTCCCAAGGGAGCATTTTCTGAACCTCAACTGCAAATTCTTTTGGCTATGTGAGAGAAATATTTTGGAGTAAAAGAGCATTCACCAGTCCTCGTTATTTAGACTCTCAAGTAAATTAAAGAGGAGGTGGCCTGGATATTAGCAGATT